ATGGTGTGGAAGAATTGTCTGTATTCTGTCAATCATATTTTAAATAAATGCTGATTGGCCAGGCAGGAAGTACAGGTGGGACAACCAGACAGGAAGTAAAGGTTGGACAATGAAAACAGGAGAATGCTGGGAAGGAGGAAGCCCCTTCCTCCTCAGTCCTTCCCAGATCACAGAAAAAGCAGGATGTGACCTGCCCCACTGAAAACAGTACCAAGCCATGTGGCTAACATATACTAGAATAATGGGCTGGTACACGTTATAAGAGCTAATATGAAGCCTGAGTTAATGGGCCAATCAGTTTATAACCTAATGTAGACTCTGAGTGGTTTTCTTTGGGGATTTATCAGCTGTGGGAACTGGGAAGGACATAAATCCCAACTAGCAGGCCCTAATGCTACATACACTCACAGATTTTTTTTCTCCAGGTGGTTTTTTTTTTTTTTAAGACTAAGTTGGAGAGGTGCCATTTTCCTTAGTGTTGGGGCTAGTTAGAGGTTATGGTTATGGCTTATAGAGTACGAGCCACACATAGGGGACTATTTGCTTCAGATTTTCTTGGAAGTGGCTTTAAGTGCTGGCAGTTCACTCCCCTTCTTATCAGGCCTGAATGAAAAAGACTGGGATTTAGAATTAAAAGTTGTTTCCTGGAGGCAGACTCAGTCTAGGGTTTGGCACCTTATGAAGCAGTACAACTTTGTCTCACGGTAACGAGAACAGCGTTAAAGAGTTCCAGTGTACGTATATGAAAACAACACCCTGCCCCACAAACAAACAAACAAAAAACCCAACCCCGGGCATTGCTTAACCACCAAGTAAATGCAAATCAAAGTCACAATGAGACATCACCTAACTGGAATCGTTACTACTAAAGAGGCAAAAAAAGAGCAAGTATTGAGGGTATAAAGAAAGAGCAGCTCTTCCACACTGTTGGTGGGAGTAGCATTAGAACAGCCCTTATGGAAAACAACATGGAAGCTCCTCAGACACAAAAGCGGAATTGCTGCCTGAGTCTCCATCCCACAACTCGGTAGATCCAAGGGAGGGACCAACCATGTATGTTGAACACTGTTCACGCCAGCTAAGATACAGTCAGTGCAGGAGTCCCCCAATGAACTGGAGTAACTGTATGAGCAAAGACGAGAGGCGCAGGCAGACACTGTTCTCTCTCACTGTTGACTATGAACACATTGACCTCCAGCAGCTGGAAGCAGGGGTACGGGTCTGAGGATGCATGACCAAGAAGTCCACTGCACCATGAGTGATGCAGCCCATGCCAGTTTGTTGACTGAGTTCCTTCAAAGAATAAATAAGCATGGTGTTTGCTATCATCAGGAAAATGGTAACTCTGTGGAGTGATGCATGTGTTAATTATCTAGATTTAACCATTCAATAAGTAAACTTTAAAACAACACACTACACATACAACTGCCAATTAAGAAAATCTAGGATGGCTAGGCATGCTTTTTCTCCTGAGCTTCCTGGTGATTTGATGGACTTGTTGTTGTTGTTATATTATTATTATTATTATTATTATTATTATTATTATTATTATTATTA